ATTTAGTCAGATTTTGTTAAACACACACTGGCAGCAGTTTGTGGAACTATTTCTCATCCAAAATTGGACCTGAGTTATAGAAATAGTTCAGACTGATTGAGAAAAGGTGGGTCTGCTTTTTACCAGAACTCTTAGAGGCACACATGGACCATGAGGTACAAACGTTTACCAAGGACCACTGCTGATGGTTGGATCCCTTCTCAAAAAGGTACCGCATGGGTCCATTGATGCAAAAACTCAGCGGGTAGAACTTAGCCCAGAGAGGGAAGCCGACCCACCTTAAAGCGCTCGGCCATTGGAGGATATGGAGTTCAGAGCTCATGCAGAAACAGACATGGAGATTATCTGAGGATGTGTTGGATTTCTGTTGTACACTGAAACAGAACTTGTTGGGTCCTCCTCTCCAGTTAGACCCAATCCAGTGTTTAATCAGAACCTCTTTCAGTTCCTGCTGAAATGGTCAGGATTTCTGTAAGGCCCCCATGAAGGGAAAGGTTTGGTCCAGAGCTCCAGCTCGTTCTGATGATTCAAACATGCAAGACGGCGGCGTCTGGGTGGAGAGGGGAAGGTCAGAACCACCTGTGGATCGGTCACAGATAGTTGCTGGTGTAAGCAGGTTAGTGGTAAAAGGTTCTAGTGTTTAGATCTGAGGCCCAAATCAGAAAAGAACATCTCACATTTTCAGCACAGAACAAATTCAAAATTGCAGAAAGTTAAGCGCAGCCCAAGCAGTGTTCCATGTTAGTAAAAGCTTGTCACACAACAATACTGATACCAGAAGCTTTGCTCTAAAAAGTCCAACTGGTTCTCCAGATTGAAGCCAATGGGGCCCCAAACATAGGGGCCCGACTCAGGAGATTGAGAGTGTGGAGACAGCATTGTAGTTTTGGTATTTTTCCAGAGAAGAACCAGAAGGAAGCTTTGGTTTTAGACTGTGTATCTTGTTGTGAAGGCTGGTTAAAGATGGACGCTGTTGGCTCCACTGAAACATCAACACACTGTACAGCTTTTATCTACAGCTGGTCCTACGGGTCATCCATGGACAACAATCCGCCCTCCACCAGTTCAAAAATCCAACCCAGAGCTGAGTGGTCGTTGGTTTCCAGTATCCAGATTAAAAACAGGGACATTCTGTGGGAAACGCTGGGATGGTTCTAATCCCAAAGGACATAAATAAGGAGTAAACTGGGTTAGATGAGATGTTGTGATGAGGTTGGAACTCCATCCTCCCAGAAGGCCACAGGTCCGAGTCTCAGGTCCTCCTGATGTGGGTGAACAGAAGCTCGGTCCATCAACCAACACCCCATGGACTCAGATATGGAAACGTCTTTAGTTCGGGAGGATTTCCTATGATGAGCTGTACCATCCTAACGTCCGAAGGCACCTTGTTTTCTCCATTTGGGAATGCTCTGAGCGTTTCACCCTCGACAGACCGATGTTTGTGGGACTGGGTGGGAAGTCAGAAAGTTCTGTAAAAATCAGAGATTGTCCTAAAACTCCTGCTTCCATTTTGGGATCTGCACCGAGGACTTCAGGGGTTCTCTGGACTCGCCGTGTGGCTTAGAAATCATCACTAAACTGAAGTAGCCAGATATGCAGACGACATCCAAGTCTTTCTGTGTCTGATGCTGAATACAACCACATCTTCTGCCCTACTCCCATTTTATATCTGTTCTGGAACTGCTGGATGAACT